CACTAATAATGGCTAAAGGGAAGTGATGCTGCCATCTGATTCCCCCACACTGGCTGTATCAGGATTTAGGTAGTTCTAGAATTATAATGCTAAGTTGAGAATCACTCAAATAACCTGCAAAACAGCTAAGTATTATTTGGAGGGCTTTAATGTCTATCTTACAAAACAACCAACTGAAGGCAGTGATGAATGCATAGTTCATATTGTATTTTATAAGATAGGATAAAGGATTAGTTAAAAATGCATTGAAAACATTTCTAGATCTGATAGCTCTAGATTTGGTTTTCTGCTCAGAAAAGAACAGAGGAAGCACTTTTACATTTACTTTATACTTGGGTGCTAATGCTTATAAGCATTTTGATACAGGTGCCCCCAACTGATTCAGCTGTTCTGCAGACAAAATATATTTTGAACAGAACACAATTATTACTCATTTCTGAATATGCCGCAGGTTCCATTTTCTCTGAATCGAAGAAAATCCTGGAACTCCTCAACTGAAAAATTTGAGAATGTGTTCTAAATGTGGAAGTCATTGAACAGTTGCTCACTTTCTTCCCTATTCTAAGAATAGTGACTTTAATTTCTTCTGATTACTTCTGAAGGAAAGTGCATTAGGTCACTAATGTGCTTTGGCACTTCTCCTTAACACCTGTTCAACTTCCTTTAGGTTACCAAAGCTCAATATAACCTGTATGAAGAAGGGAAGAAGCTGGGTGCAGGTGGTGGGGGTGGGGAATAGTGGGGATGACTCACTAAACTTCTAGATTATAGGAGAGTGTGGCAAATAGTGATGATGACTACCTGAGAGGCATGTGTGTAATCTTTTCTTTTTAAGTCTATTTATTTATTTATTTATTTATTTATTTATTTAGAGAGCATGGGAAGGGCACAGAGAGAGAGAGAGAATCCCAAGTGGGTGCAGAGCCCAAATAAGGGCTCAAACCCACAAACTGTGAGATCATGATCTGGGCCGAAACTAAGAGCCAGACACTTAATTCATTCTTCTATTTCCTAAATCATTCAACAAATCTTGACAGAGTGCCTACTATTACCAGGCACTCTATAAAGTCCTTTAAACAAAAATGACTGAAGCAATATCAGTGAGATTATTTCAGTGTGAATCAAAATCTCTTTCGTTCCTGAACAAAAGCTTTTTATAAACTGGAAATTCTTTGCATTTGTATGCTCTTTACCATTTGAGGCAGAACTCTATTATTAAAAATTGTTTTACAACACGTGCAAATATAAATTATTACGTGAATAGCAATATCACATAAATACGGACTCATTTTCCACTACATTCATGCTGGAAAACTACAGAAAATGCTGGCAAACTGGCATTCATATAATGTAGAATAAATGATGACAGTTTTGAAAATGTTTTTAGATATAAATGAGAATAAGTTTTAAGCTTTTTAAAAATTTGTCCAGAAGAATAGGCCCATTTAACCACTTTTCAAGGAGAAACTTCACTTAAAATTAATAATGAGCATTGGAAAGACAAGTTTAAAAAATCAAATTAAAATTAATTTAAATGGCTCTTGTTGAAAACAACCTGTTTCACAGATGTACTATTCCCAGGATGGTTTCCTTTGAAAAACAATGCAAATAAATGTCCTGTGGCTGAGCCAGCCTAAGGCAGCACGATTAATGCCATTTTCCTTGATTGTCTTCTTTTGAGTTTACCATTTCAAAATTTGATAAAGGATTCTTGTTAAAAAAGAAAATGCATCTGATTTCATGGTTGGAGAATAGATACAACTTTTTAGAGCCCAAATCTACAGCAATCTTACAGTGAGAACTGCAGATTAGATTTGCATCTGGAGAGTGCCTGGCATATGAGGCACTAAGATCACTTCCATCAGATGAAAAATCTGGAGACACAGTCTCAGGAAACACACTTTCCAAGACCAGTGTCGAAGGAGGGAACATGAATCTGAAGTTGGGCTGCACTTCAATCGCTGAGCAGTTTTTGAGTAATACGAGCTATAGTAACTTAGATTCCTCATTTAGAAAATGTGGCTAGAAATGACTATTGTAGGGCTGATGTGTGGCTGTTTGATTAAATTTGTTATACTCACTGCATGTATCATCTCATTAAAACCTAACAATAGGGGTGCCTGGGTGGCTTACTTGGTTAAGCGTCCGACTTTCGCTTAGGTCATGATCTCACGGTTCGTGGGTTCGATCCCCGCGTTGGGCTCTGTGCTGACTGCCAGCTCAGAGCCTGGAGCCTGTTTCAGTCTGTGACTCCCTCTCTCTCTGACCCTCCCCTACTCACACTGTCTCTCTCTCTGTCTCCTAGAAATAAATAAAACATTAAAAAAAAAAAAACCTAACAATAATTTTCAGAGGTAGGTGTTATTTTTTCCATTTTACAGTGAGAAAGCCCAGACCAAGAGGTTGAGCAATGTGTCCACAGTAAAGCATCAGAGGCAGTATTCAAACCCATGTCCTTCAGATTCTGAGGCTTTTACAGAGTAGCTTGCAACTAGTGTGTATGTTTCACCCAAGGATTGTAATAGATTAGATACAACAAGAACATATTTGCTCCTTAACTTCTAATACCCAGATCTTTTAATGTATAGAAAAGTGACAGTTAGTAGAAGTAGAGCACAGATACTCCTTTCCATAAAAGCTTCAGAAGTGTGAATTTTCATTGATTAGAACTCAGTTAAATCAGAGCAAAAATAGCCTGCTTCTAACAGATGGCAACACAAATACGCTTCAGATTCCAAACTTAGAATTAGCCTTTTTGACCCTAACATATTCATAGTAAGTTGGCTTCGGTACATAAACACATAAGAAGGTCCATAGTAAGAATTTACTAAAGGCAATTTCTTCGAAAAATGTCAACCTAATTTACTAAAGAAAAACACCCACCTGAAGCTGTCTGTGAGGAATAAGACAAACAGCCTCTATTAATGCTAATTGAAATTCTCATATCCACAGAGACGATGCATAAAACTTACTTCTACACTTATTCTTTCCACCTTTAAACTTCAGTAAGTCCACACCAAAATACTAGCTTTCTAATCTCAGCATTAAGGCATGGAAAGTGGTCATTTTTCTTGTGATTATATTTACAAATTGAATACAGATTAAATCTTACTATTTGCAAATCAGATAAATCTTGATTGCTTTAGACAAAGAGAGAAAACTGAATATCCTGGCATAAATTAGGAATTTGTTTCAAAATTTGTTTTAGGAATTTGCCACTTCAATAACATCCTTATAACAAACCTAAACACTAATATGTTTGGGCAAAATAATTCATATGTTAACTCCCATAAAGAGACGGACACATAACATTAAATGAGATAGTGTACTTTTCCTTATGTCCACAATTACAAAGACTCATCATATATATTTAAATGTCAGAAAAGGCTAAGAACCCCACACAGAGTTTTCACTAACAAGATATAAATTTTAATTTAAGAATATCACAGCTATGAAAAAAATGTTTCCTCAGAATACTCCAGATGGTTGATTCTTGTCTAGGTTTTCAACTGAAGGGTGTCTCGAATAGAAAATACTTACCTATACAGTGATGAGCCAGGTACCTGGTCTAGGAGATTTTTTGAGGATTTACTAAGGAGAAGTTGCTTTAGTTGCTATTGCATGTGCAGGCTTCTCTTTCCATAAAAGGAAGTTCAATATAATATCAGCATTGTTGTTGTCACTCTGACTAAGGCCTCTCAGAGATTAGAGAAAAGGTCAACTAATTTCTCAATCTATCAGAATAAGAAGTGGGAAACCATTCATTCATTTGTACATTTATTCAACAAAGAGTTACTGAGGCTTTATTTATATATGCCATATCTTATATTAGTGTCTGATAAAGCAGAAATAATAGCCAGATAAAATATATATATATATATCAATATATATATAGATATATCTATATACATAGATATATATATAGATATATCTATATATCTATATATATAAATATATAAAGGATGGGTAAAGGTCACTGGCCATATGGATATGGAACTTAGAATCTACTTATATAAGAAGATATCTTCTTATATATTATATATATTGTATTATATATATTGTATATAATGAACTAAGTTAGGAAGAATGACATGCTAGCAAAAGCATAGTAAAAGCAATGCAGAAAATAAGTAATATTAACATGTAAGCACTGAAAGACAGAATATAACCTATGAATTGCTATATTACTATCAAAATTCAGATACCTGTATCTTAGTTTTCTACTACACTTTGTCATGAAGAACAGCATTAATGCTAGTTAAAATAATTGAATCTCTAAGCTAATTCTTTTCATTTGTATAAATAAAAATTTGAAATAATAAAGCAATTTACCATTAACATAAAAAGGAAATGGTATGTTCTAGAGAGGAAAAAGACACTTTCAAAGAATTGGAATTAAAGATTATTTCCGGTTTATTCGAAATAGTATTTTGCATTGTTGTTTCTTATAAAATTGAGGTCTGTTTTTTCCCTCTATTTATCAGTATTAAACATTTTTTCTGTATATGTTGAATTAGGTATACTCAGACATATCTACACTCAAACTGACGCTGTTCCCAATAGGAGTGGTCATATACAATGCTGTCTGCAAAGTGAATATATTGGCATAGGGCTCCTGAAGCAATATATCAAGGCAGCCCTTGACATTTTTCCAAGTGGAGAGGGCATGTCACAATTAATTAAACAAGATGGCATTCCATTTTAGCAAAGCTTTTGTGTACTTCACTACACAAAGACCTAACCAGCTGATAATAAAAATGCCCTTCAAAGAAGGGTTTAAGATTAGAAACTAGTTGCACAAAGGAGAAAACGTTTCTTATATTTTTTTAATAGCTGAGAGTGATTAATGGCAACATTTTTAAATGAAAAGACAATGAACAATTTGCAGGTACACAGCCAGAAGGAAGACAACAAAGGTAGTCTACACATACATACAATAAACGTACTGAAAACAAACTATAAATATTTACCCCTTGAGTATCATCAAAAGTCAAACTTACCTGATCTACTATCCAGAGGTCCAAAATCCAAAGAGTATTTCACGACGTGATAGTTATTCCACACATAAAGAAGGTTGTCTCTGGGGTTGTAATCCACAGCTGCTATGTACTGGTACGAATTGGGAAAGGGTACATCCACCAAACTATCCTTACTTTGGTCAGTGTTGTAAATGTAGTCAATCTTATTCCCTGTGGCCTCATTGTCATCATCCTCGTATACAGATTTGACCACATACAGAATCCCGCAAATCATAAATGCATTGGAAGCTGATCTTTTATCATATGCAGTATCCCATGTCCCTTCAATCCGTAGAGTATAAGGGTTCAATTGGCTAATGACAATTTTACCATTGTTTTGTTCTGTTGCATAGATTACCCAGAGCCCATTTTCATCCACTGCCAGGTCTATGTCAGATTTGCCACCCCATCGGTAAGGGGAGGTATCATGGTAGTTGGCATTTGCTATGATAGCCTCTCCACTCTTTATCCTAGTCCGCAAATCAAACTTTACTATGTTCCTGGTGCGTTCTTTGTTGAAAAACAAAGCTCCGTCATACACTACAAATCCTGTGCCATCCACCCTGTGAGGGAGCTTGTAGGTTGTAGTTGGCCTTCCAGCAATGAAGTCATCCTTGGATGAGTACTCAGTCAGGGTATCAGTTCTGTAGGGAGTCCAGGGCATATAATAAATCTTGTCAGAAGCCTGTAGAGGGTCTTTGCACCATGCCCCAGATTGGTGGTCAGATTCAAACAAATGTTCACTCTGGTATACTCCTTTTAGTAGTCCAGGACAAAGAAAAACTGTTGGAAGGGAAAGAGTTAAAATAATAAATATATTAATTTTAATATTCTGTCACATAGGCTTAGTTTGTACCAAATGGACTGTAACTCTAACAAAAGATACCCACCACCACTTAATAATTTCGCTGCATCCTTCTGAGCATACAAACCATCTTACTTATTATTTTGACTTTTGATCAAAATCATTTTGATTTCATTTGCTGAAAAGTGTGGCCTCTCTGGAGTAGTTGTGTTGTCCTTTGAGTTTTACCTTTGTAAGCATGTGATACAACATTTTTGGATATACATATACAGATGTGATGTATGTCTATGTATTCTATAAATACAAATGTTTATATAGAATATCTTTACATATCTTATTTGGAAATTAAATATATGTATATTGTTTTCACTCTGATATCAGCTATTCAATAATTTATCTTTAAGAAACACATATAAATCCAATAGTAAGTAAGTATAATAATAAAGGAAAAGAAAAGCCCTGTAGTACAGGCCACGGAATCTTTTAGCAAAAATAAAACAAAACAAAACTAAACCTCTTAAAGCTTCTATAGCACACACAGAGCATGCAACCCATTCGATTAAAAATGAGTGATGGATGGATACTGGGAGGAAAAAGAGAAAGGAAGAAAAAGAAAGGAAAGAAGGAATAAGGAAAGGAGAAAAGGTGAAAGGTTACAGAGAAGAACCCAAGATCTAGATTTTAATCAGTTAAATGTCCTGTTAAATACAGTAGTATCGGAACTTAAAAACATGTACCTTTTACTGTTACATGAGAACATTAAAAAACAAGATTACTTGCTACAATATTTTGCTGCTCATACTTCAGACTGAAAATGGGCAGGAATTATCTGATTCACTTGAATTTTAGTATGATTCAGTAGCACATTCTGTGAATAGTGGTAAAAAGTCTTGGCTGGCTTGTAATGAAGGGACTATAAAGCAATGTTTCCCAAAGAGTATTCCTTGACACACCTGTTTCAAGTGGCAGAGATGAATATTACACAGAAAGAAAACAGGGACCCTTAGCCATACTTTTAAGAAATATCATATTAAATAGAATTGTGGCAGAGATTCAAATAGCTTTAGTGCATCAGCGAATCTCCAAGGCAGAACTGAGGGGGGTGAGCAAATTTCACAAACTAATTTGATCGTGGAGCCCCCCCCTTCTACAGAACCTGTTTAAAATGTAGTGTTCTGATGAACCTGCTATGGGAAACACTGCTCTAATATTTTTGCAAAGAAAACACACTGAAAAATATCATGCAGTCCACTGTTATGTTTGAAATGATTAGAAGTGTATTGGGAAAAGCAATCAAGAAATCATAAGGAATTTGGATGCTGACTCATATTTTAATGATTAAAGTATTATTCTTTTGATATTAGTGATTAGCTCTTCAACAGCAACTATAAGCCTAGATCCAATGGAAAACAATCTAAGATAAAACTCAGCTAGGATATGCCGGTTGTTAAAAAGGAAAGTACATTATTAAAGTGCCCAAAATTTTACTTTTGTAGAAATGAAAAGTTTGAGGGCAAAGTTGACTACCAAAATCTTCCATAGCAAGGATAGAGGGCCATCATCAATTTATACTCAATAATAAAACTGATGATTAAAAGAATTTCACAGGATTCTAATATGATGGCTACAATTATAATGAATGGATAGGCATTATGTCACCATCGAATATAATCTTTACATTGGTTAACAATCAGCCCATAGTTACTCAATTAATTTATTATAAGGTATTTCAGAAAACCATCTCCCCTTTTCCCCCAGTAGTTAAAAATTAAAGGAATGGGGAAAACCACACCAGAGCTATGGAAAATTATCTAGTAGAGAAATAAAAACAGATGTAAAGTAATCACTATCCATCACCATCTGCCGGATTTCTAACTACTTGTTTAAAAGTAAAGAGGAAGAAAATGCATGGTTGAAAATTTTACATGATTAAACTGTTTCAGGATAAAAGGATCAAACCAGCACTAGGTCATCACAGCAGATTAAAGTGAAGTTGAGCAGCAGAAGGAGTAAATAAATTTTCATAAAATAGATAAGAATTAATACAAAATTATTTTAACTAAATGTTAAACTGTTAAATCACTTAGCCTATAAATAGTATATAATTTATGAAAGGTATTTAATTACCTTTTTGTTCCACTTCTATTGGAGAGAGAGAAGTACAGAGAGAAAGGAGAAAAGAGAATAGATTAATGGTACGGTATTGGCCAAGCACTTTTTATTCACCTCTTCCAAACTGAAAGTAAATAATTTACTTCATTCATACTTGCTTTTTGAACATAATTTAAAAAAAAATCCATTTCCCTAGTAAAATTACTTTTTAAAAATGCAATCATATTATAAACTTAAAAAATATAGTACAGACTTAGAAAACATAAGGCAAAAGTTATTCAAGCTATATTTATTTTTTTGGGAAAAAAACATACAATTCCAAACTGTAGACATAAGAAATACAAGATTCATCATAAGAACACCAATATTTCCCTTTGAAAGTTAGGAAGGTAATTATACACATAAAACTTTCAAATAGTTTGACTAGCCTCTTTTATAAAATATTATATTTTATATCACTGTTTTACATAATAGTCTTGCTTTTTACCCATCTCAAGGATTATCTCTTTAGCAGAAACTACTCTGTAACTCATTTCCTAAGACCTAAGATTTTCCATGTCAGTTTTATGAGAAATAAGCCTCATGCGGCTACACATTAATAGTGAATTCCCTCACACTAAATAAATGGATTCAGAATCTCTATTGAAGAAACTTCTCTCCCCCCCCGCCCCAACTCATCAATATTTGATACTAACAGAAAAATCTGTTACAAGAAGGTTGACATAAATCATGAGCCATCTGTTCTGGCCTTTTCTGAAATTCCTAACTGACTCAACACACTCTTGTAAGAATAAATTCAGATCTTCAACCATGTCATGGCTATGTATCTCTCAGATTACTCAGATTAGAGCCCATGATTATTTTTAAGGTACTGATCAATTCAGATCAGGGAAAATTCTGGGAAATTGTAACATTCACGTAACTGATCAAGCAGCAGCTTGCTTATCTTCTGAACATTTCTCTCATTAGAGACAACTTGGCCAAATCATAAAAATAAGAAAAAGGACCAATAAAAAACAAAGGGAAGATTTGGGAGGAGAATGGGTTCATAACACAAACTTACAAATCACAGATTGCAATTGATAGAACTCTAAAAAAGTTTTAATAGAATAGATAAACCAAAATATTATTGCACAATAAAATTCTAGGGAAGTTTCAAAACACCGGAAAAATACTGTTTTTGTTAACTGTATTTAGGTGAGATTTTATGCTTTGACCTAGGCTGTTGTCCTCTATTGTCAAAATCACATTCACTTCTCATTCATGTGTTTGAAAGCTCAATATCACATGTGTTAGAACACAAAGTTAGTATATACCAAAAGTTATGCTTAAGACTTTGCAAATGGAGTTTTTTAAAAAGATTCCTTATCTCACTAATGTACAAGTCTTATTTTAATAGTATTTCTAGGACTCTTTTAGCAACTCTATACTCTTATAATTTATCATTATGCTCAATCTTTACTAAATGACCACAGTGTTCACTGGACTATATGCCTCACTACAGATCAGTTAAACTCTTTATTTAATGATGCACTTCATGATCTGACTAGAATACTAACAAACCTGAGTTCAGACTGACAACTAGAAGAAGCATAACTAAGCACCTCAAGAAATTAATCAATAGTCTCAAAAGTTTGTACTCAAGGCACATTACAGTGAAAGCAGAGGTTGGGAGTGGTAAATCATACTAAGTTGACATTTTTTCAACAACTAGGTTACAAAAGAATTTCTAGAACTAATTTTGTTCTTTGAAGTACATCTAAGTATATATCTTTCTGAGAACTGTATACAGAATGTTTATATTCTAAAACATTAAATATACACTCATACAACTTGGGTTTTATTTTACATAAAACTCTTCATCTTACTCTAAAACACTGTTATCCTAATTTCTTGGCAACTAGTATATTTTTCAGCAACTACTTAACAAGGAAGATGGAATATGTGATTAAAAAAGTATTGATAAGGAGTTTGTTATTCTCATCACTGCTTGGCCTTTTGGCTAAGATCAAGTGATAAGATATTTGGTATTTTGTAAATACTATCTTACAATTTAATGGATGTTGTTATTTTTAAAGAACATTTACTTCTATTTTCTCAATTGTCATTAGGTAAAATTTTAATTCTCTGGTCTTGGTCTAAGAATTGGCATAAGCTGTAGCTTAAGTAAAGTGTGCTTCTGTTACTTGCAGGTTACTCAAAATTAAGATTTATTAGGCAGTTTCACTTTGGAGAAAATTATTATGTTCTTGCCTATGTCATGACTGGCTGTAGCTCATTTATCATTTATTTGCTATTTTCAAGACTCTAGTAAAACAATCCTATAATTTAAGTTGAAACAAGCATACACAAATCATATTCTCATAACAAAAACTGGCAAGGCAAACATAATTTGTCACTGAAGAGCTTAGTAACATTTAGGATTAGCCAGCCACTGTCTGTCATGTAGTTCTGATTCTAGAAGCTTCTTTCCCCTGGAAAAACAGCACTCATACAAAGAAATTGTATGGATACAGTTAACACCCTTGACACTATATCCTTCATAACCTCACAGTCCCTGGCTCATAGGAAGTACTCAGTGAATAGCTGCTGAATTAATACATAATCTAAATAGAGGTGATTGATTCTGCTTCTTAATGTTTGAAGCATGTAGTAAAAAGAAAAAATGGTGAAAAGAATCTAGATTTGCTCTATATAATCATACGTGCAATGTACCATCTATATAATGCCTTTGTATATTTCAATGGATGTGGAGGAAAAGTACAATTCATGAGCATTATGTATCTCCAACTAATTAAATGTAAAACCGGAGGGGAAAAAAGGGAAATAAGAAAACTGTATGGATAGTCTTGAGACTTATATTGGAGAGAACAAAGTGTTGCTATAAAACAGCCTCTAATGACCTAAAAACGCAGACCAAATACTCCCTTCTCTCCTCTCTGTAATGAGATCATAAATAAATGAGTCGTACGATGACACCTGTGCTCAGCCTTCTTCAGTACCTCCTGTCTTTTGGTCCAATATCCTGAGTTCCGGCATAGCTGTCACTGTTCATTTCCAATCCTCTTTGAAACTAGTTTCTCTTTTTTTCCTCTCTTCACTTTGAATCCCCAAACTATTTTTATTGTCCATTCAGCCTCTGCAAATATGTTTATATATTTCCTCAAAGTGACTTCATTGTCATCCTTTGTCAAACTTAATGTCATAAGCCATATCCTGTGGTTAGAGTAAATGACAAATTCAAACTAAGGGTAATTTTATTCTGTATAAAAGGCAGAAACAGAGGAAAAAAACTAGTAAATTTTCTCTTTATTTGCAAACAGTTCATAAAAGAGAAATAATATATAGCCAATAGCCATGTTATTGTTTAGAAAAAATAAGATGTTATTAGTTCTATCCATACCTATACAATATGCAGTATTTTTGAATTGCATTTTTTAATTAGAAAAGGTATGGATGAGAGAGCACATGCACGCATTACCAGTCTTTTCCAAATTGCATTGCAAATTACAGAAAAATAAAATTCTTGCATGCTAAAAGTTGTTAGAACTAAACTGTCATAACTAAGAACTATGAAATTGTATCTACTTCTAATATAGGTTATTCTTTCCTTTAAACTGTAAGTTACACTATACATTTTCTATGTTATATAATGCAATGATGCAACTATAGTTCTGTAATATAGAAGTAGAAATACTTATGGAGAACAAGAGATAGTTATACAACATTAAAAAATTATAAATACCTTTTTTATCATTTAAATTTACTCTTATTTTAAACAGTATTATTTTCTAGGTTACATTTGGCTTGAGCTATTAAAATGCCCTTATCACTGGCCAGGTGGACAGTGAAGGAGACAGCAATAAAGGAAACTAAGTGAGTAATAAAACATCAGTCTTGGATGAAAATTTGCTGGTGTATCATCCATAATCAAGGCCATCTATAAGCGAATAATCAGAAGTTTACAATAATACTTTCACTTCTACAGCACTCTAGACTTTAATAAAATGTTTTCATATGAATCACTTGATTTAATTCTTCAAACAACACTGTGATGTGGTGTTTGTTATTCCTGCATCAAAGATGACTCAAAGAAAACTCAAAGGGTTAAAGGATTTGACCAAGAACAACCCTAATGATGGAAGAGTCTGTCATTTATCTAATACACACCGGCTCTCACTACATGTAACCTCAGTGGATTCTTGCTCTTCATTTCCTTTCTGTCAACAAATCTATGTGAGAGTGCACATTAGAGGACATAAATAGCACAAATGGAATCTTCCTGAGGCTAAGCACTCTGTTACAAGAACACTCACTAAGCATGTACCATGTGGCATATATTGCACTGTTTTGCATACCATACTAATTTAATCATCTCTGAGAAACCTTATGAAGTAGATATTCTCTTTATCTTAACTTTTCAAATGAAGAAACAGGTACAAAGAGGCATTGCTCTTTGATTAGTGACTGGTAGAGCTGGAATTCAAATACAAGTGTTGATTTTATCCATTACTGCATCTCTAGTGGACAGCATGTAAGAAAAGCTCAATTAGTATTTCTTATGCCTCTATGCAATGATGCATTGTACTGTAGTATTTTCAGGGAATGTGACTGGATGTCATATTTTTCAGTGCTATTATCCCCGAGACTAGTGATGCAAAGCATCTTTCTAGGGAAGACAAAAAAATAATAATTTTTAAAAAGGTTCCTCGATTCTTGGCCAAGGAAGCAAGATATTTCTTATCGCCAGAAACAAACCTGTGCTGAATACCTCATGTCCCGTTAATTCTCATTATTCTGAAACAGAGAAAATTCTCTTTTTCTGTTTCACATACACCAGCAAAATAAAGAAGCACTTCAGTAAGTAGAAATAAAAAAAAGATCTGTGAAATTCATTAATTTTGGTATACTTCATATCAAAAATTCTGACAGACATCTGTCTCTTTCAGTAAATAAGGCGCTAATCTTTTATTTAATGAAAGACAGGGGTAATCTCTGAAGCTCAGCTTCTAAATTATGTTTTTGAAGTA